TCAGCAATTGGTTGGGTTTACCTCACGCTTATTGCACCTTCTGTTTCGAACAGGGACCCATTATTTAAATATTAGAATTAAATTATATTAGGTAGGTACATTTTATAATAACTTAGAAGGACACTACACCTCCTTTTTCTTAGAGAGAATGACCCACACTTGTGAAGGGCATTCCTTGGCAATCGGAGTCTACAAGCAGTTACACAAGGATCTATTTACTACGCAAAGTGGATTATAAAAAGTAAGAAGTACATTGACATTTTTACAATAAATTCTATAATTGAGCACAATTATAATTTGAACTAAACTTCCTATTACTATTAAGATTGATTATCTAGTGTGTATAATCAATGTTATTACAATTTGGGAATCCTATAATTTTTAATGTTTATCTGATAGTTTCAATTTTTGTTTTTAAAATTTTTGTACAGTTATAACATCCGTCTTTAGTGCAAAAATATCTGCGAATTATTTACAAAGGGTTAAAGTGTCATGTTTTACTATTTCCGGTATATCTTGATTAATTCGCATCTTGATGGAATAAATATTGTACTATCCTTTAACTAGCGTACTGAAAATTGGGCTGGTAATTGTATATTGGCCCATTCGAATAGTCATAGTCCAATAAAAATAATTCAAATTCGCTTTATAATTGACTAAAAAGTCTCTGCCCAAAATACCATCACACGGAATAGGAAAATCTTCATTAACGATAAGTATGAAAAGTGTGCTTTAATTTATGGCCACGTATTAAAATCGACGTTTCCGTACTACTATTGAATAAAGAATCTACCATTGAATAATAAAAGATGTATTATTCAATGGTACTACCTAATGAATTTGTAAAACCTTCCATTACTCCTTTTATAGCACTAAAATTTTGGTTAGACCTCATTTTTGAACGTCGTTTAAAAATAGAAATGTCATGCACCATCAGTGTATTTTTTGAACCGGACATTTCAGTTTCAAAAACTACGAAATTAGAAAATAATGACAGATTGAGAGTATAAATTATTCTGCTTCCCCCCATCGATTCGACGTCGACCGGGGGGGGGGGGGCGATTAGTTTTCCGGCTCCGCTTCCGTAGCATATTATGATTGTATCCTATAGGAGTTCTTAAAAGTAAAATTTCTATTATAATTCCCACGGCCCCGGTAGCGCGTCCTTCTCGATAATTGAATTTATGGTTATAACCTCGATTGCTATAATAAAATTAAATCCTCTATCGCGTCCGCGAGTATTGCGATTATTGCTTCTAAAGTCCTCATTTTTCTTAAAAAAGAAAACAGTAGAATTTGATGAACTGCTGGCGCCTGAGTTAGTATTAACAAATTTGGCAAAACCTTCCTGAATTGTTTCAAAACTGTAACATTTTTACCAAATGCGCGTGCAGTAAAATCTACCGTATAATTTTCGGCTGCTGTATACGGAACACCTTTTGTTATGTATGCTTTTTGAAGTCTTTCAACAAGAGACTCCATTTCAGAAGCATATGCTGATACATCTTTGTTATTTTGTTTAAAATTTAATCATTTTGCAGGCAGTAATCTTGAGCTTTCACCTTTAATTTCATTCCGTAATATTTTTGGAAGCCTCGTTTTTATAAAAGCAACTGCGTTATCACCAGTTTCATTAACTCTAACGAATCTAAAAAGGAATGTAATTTTTCAGGTGCACCATCAAATTGAACGGCGAATCAATTCACTAAATGTAGTAAATTTAGGAATTTTTTAATTCTTTTGATTTTTAATATTTTTCAGAAATGTAATGAACATAAAAGGTTGCCTACGTAGAAAATATGATCACCTGTAAAATATAGGTTTCCCAGTTAGCGTTTGAAGTGCCCCAAGATATTTTTTGTTAATTTTTTGCAATATAGCAAAACCTTCCTTTTTTACCAAAATTCGACTACACCAAAATTTCTCGGGAAAACACTTTTTCTTATTAATTTGGGTGCGTAGAATCCAAATCAATTCGTACTTTTTCGATCAGACTTCTCAATCAAAAGTTATACACTAGAAACCAATTTCGAAACAAAATTCAAAGGGCTGTAATTTTTGAACTAGTAGCCCAATCTTGGAACTGTTTGAAATGATGGATTCTACAGGCCACATTCTATAAGAAAATTTTTTTTCCGAGACGATCTGAGACAATTTTTTTTCCTTCCTTTTTTACCAAAAATCGACTACACCAAAATTTCTCGGGAAAACACTTTTTCTTATTAATTTGGGTGCGTAGAATCCAAATCAATTCGTACTTTTTCGATCAGGCTTCTCAATCAAAAGTTATACACTAAAAACCAATTTC